AGCAGGGATGAAGCCTAAAAGCACAGTAAGTAAAAGAAGTGAGATGACTGGCCAAAAGGCGGCATAGTGGTTAAAGCACTAGATCCCACATGGCCGATTCTGCGGTTCAATTCCTGGACCTAGCAGCTTGAAAAACATGCCGGGCACGTGTACATGTGTGCCTGCCCAAAATCTCGAAGAAAATGGAGGAGGGACTGTGGTGTGACAGTCCTCCCGAAAGGTGACATCTCACTTTCCCTATCTCTTTCTCCATTAGGTACACCCTATGGCAAAAAAAAAAAAAAAAAGCTAGATAGAAAAGACTACATAGTGTATTACTATTTAATTTATATGAAATATCCACAAAAGGCAAATCTATATGAGCAGAAACCAGGCAACTGGCTGCCAGACACAGGGCACAGATCAGGAGTAGACGTAACGGGGCGTGAAAGATTCCATCTGGCACAATGTAAGTGATTTCAAATTGTATTGTGGTAATGTCTGTGCAACTTGTAAACTTAATAAATATCACTGAATTTATACATTTGAAATGGACAGTAATAGAAATATTACATAATACGGCATTATAAATATTATGGTGTAAAAATCACACCTCAGTAAAGGTAAGGGAGAGACCCCGGCATCCTGCGAACATGGCACTGTGAGTGGCATGAGCATGTGTCCGTGGCCTGCAACCTGCACCGGCCTCAGCACCCGTTTTCACCTGGCCTGGCCTGCCCTGGCCTGGCCTGGCCTGCCCTGCCCGCTGCGGCCCTGGTGGCTGAGGGCAGGCACCGTCTGGATGCTGGGTACGGGAGCCACTCTGCTATGGGTGTGTAAGTTCACAGGGAAACATAGATGTAACATAAGACAGTGCTGCAGCAGTGAGGAGGGAGCTGGGGAGCTGTGTACAGTGGTCTGCCTGACTTTGGGACAAAACCGAACGAACAGGGTGCGTTTGGTGCTTTGCAAAGAGTGAAAGCTGCTAGTGAACTCTATTCTCCTGTCAGGAGAAGTAACTGAGATCAATGAAGCTCTTGCAGAAAATCCAGGGCTTGTCAACAAATCTTGTTATGAAGATGGCTGGCTGATGAAGAGGGCACCGAGTAGCCCTTCAGATCTAGACGGACTGATGAGTGAAGAGCACGTGAAGCCTACTAAGAGTGAAAGTAGAATCCTTAAATAAAGTGGTGTAATGCAACTTAATCCAGGAGAAAATAAATAAAGGAAACAAAGGTGAGGGACAGAAAGCAGGAGCAGGCATGAGCATCGATCTGGGGCTCAGAGACAACGCGGGCTGGATGAGAAGACCCCTCGGTGTCCTGTGCGCGGTAGAGCAGTGCTCAGGCCACACGCGCGGGCAGCACGTGGCTTCAGGAGTCGGCCCTTCCAAACAAGACAGCAGCTGCGGCTACATACATGAAGGGACTCCCAAAAGACCTTGGAAAAGGGAACTAAAGCATGCGCTTCATTTTGGTACCTCAAAAGAAAAAAATTCCTGCATAGTTTCTTGGTAGCTACAGTTTTCATGCAGATCTGAAGACCCCCCAGTGTAAGTCCACAGCAGGTCTCCACGTCACAGCGCTGGTGAGGAAGCAGTGTCCGGCGCTGAGGGAGGGGCGCTCTCCGTGACGGCCTCCCCACAGTCACTGTTAACCAGGAGCGGGAGGAGACAAAGTCGTCGGACCGGGTTCATCTGTGTACCCCAGGCTTCCCAAGAAACCGATGCTCTCTACTATGGAGTACGCAGGAAAACGAGGATGATTCCACGAATGAAAGGGATCAGAGTGGACACATTACACTCCGAACCAGGAAGACCGCCAGAACAACTTGCCCTCGCGGTTCTCATACTTAACACCTCTGGGAAGCAGAGGAAAGAACAGGACCTGGGAGGCCTGCACCCCACTTCCAGTACTTGCCTAAGTGCAAGAAGACAGTCCCGACAGGAGACTCGAGTACTGGTTCTTTAGAAATCCTTAGTTCTAGGAAGATTCTGGAGGGCATGTGGCAGAACACGAAGAGTTTATCCTCCACTGAAGCTCGACCATGTCTCAAGCTGTTGCCCAGAGCTGGAGTGAGACGTCTGGGGTGGAATTAAATGTATGAATACTTGCTTTAATGCACTTTAACTGGAAGAAATGTCCTGGAGAGAAACCCAACTCCCTCTCCCTAGACAGCTGAAGGCCCGACCACCACCCACCCACGTCTGTTTCTGAAGTGAGGTGGCAACCCCACAGGGCCTCTTCCTTTGTCACCCAGCCCCGGGATGTCTGCTCTCCTCCTGCCCTGCCCAGACTGCACTGCACAGGACCCGCTGGTGGCACCTGTCACCCCACTGTGAGACTGGGAGACCACTGGCTGCGAGCCACAGTGTTAGTCTCTTCTGAGAGGCCTGTTAACCAGGTCACGGGGAACGGTGACACCTGATGCCCCTATCCAGATTTACCGCAAGCACCTAGCCACCTTCTCAGAACCCAGTCCTGTGGGATTTGTATGGATGTAGTCCCTAACTTAAAACACACACACAATACAAACTAAATGGGGGGGGGGGTCTGCACTTCCTCAGAAGCTTGGTGGATTCCTTAGGTGTGATCAGTTTCACAGACTGTCCTTTCTGCCTTTCCTTCTTTAAAACGTCTTACCTTTCTAACCAAGGAATTCTCACAAAAAGAACAAGTTAACTGCAGGATCGCACAAGACAAATCCTGGACAAGGGTCCAGGAGCCATGGTCATGACACAGAGCTAAAGATCCCCTACGCCCCAGGGACCAGCAGTTAGCGTAATGGCTGTCACTGGACTCCCATGTAGTCGACCGTGGTTCAAGTCCTGGACCTGGTGGCTTAAACTCACGCCGGGCGCATGTGTGTACATCCTCAAAATCCTGAGAGGAGAATGGAGGAGAAGGGAGTGTGGTGTGGCCATCCCCCCTGGGGGGTGATTTCTTGCTTTCTGTCTCGCTGTCTCTGTCTTTCTGGTGAGTGCATGCGCCCTATAGCAAAAACCTCTCCAAAAAAAGAAAGACCCCTACGCCCAGAACCTCCTAACCGGAGGACAATACTCACTGCCCAGCAGTCGCTTACACAGAGGAGCTTCCCCACACTGCCCCTGGTATGAGTGACACATTCCAAATGCAGTAACATTCAAGAACATCTCCCCACAGGAACCTGAGCTCATAGAGACTGGGACCCAGCGATGAGTCTAAGAAGGGGACCTCTCAGAGCTGGCAAGGTTGCTAACTGACATACAGACCCCCTCCCTGCTGCTGGCCGGCTGACCGCGCTCTCCAGAAGCCAGCGACAGGTGCTGGAGAAGTGCAAGGCAGGATGAACAGAGCTCAGAGGCCGGCCAGGTGTGGTTTAGGCTGGGCTCCAGCCTGAAGTTGCCAGAGCTGTCACAAACTCTACTGGTTCTGGAACAGCAACACCCTTTTCTCAAAAGCAGCACCCTACCCTCCCTACTCTCTTCACTAGGTTCCTTTGATCCAGAGAACATTTTAAACCCAAGGTTCCTTTTTCAAAGGGACCTTCTAGTGACAGAAATAATAAGTATCTAGAAATTTCAAGCTGCTAAAAATTCCTCTCAGGATGGTAAGAACAACATTTAAATGCACACTTCTAAATTTTTCCCAAATGGTAAAAATTAATTTGCTACCACTTTTGAGCAGTTGTTTTATACATACATATATGTGCATAATATGCTAGTTCACGAGGAAGTTATGACATGTTTTTCTATGCAAAAACGTGCCATGACTTTGCGATGGCCCGGCAGAATGCAGTCCCTTACTAAGAGAGTAGCAGGCTAGCCAGCGTGTACCAGAAGGGAACCTCAGGCCTAAAGATGTGACCACATAATTAACTGTCCAAACAGGGACACCTCAGGGGATGAAAAGGGCATTAACACTGATGCTATGACAACAGGGGTAGATCAGGGCTGTCCGAACACCCTGGGGCAGAGTCACCCTACTGCAGAATATGTCACTCTATCGAAAACCTCCTACGACCTGGGCATAGGCCTCGACGCCGGCACCGCCACACTGGACGAGGTGGCTGGTCTTAGATTTCCTCATCTCTCTAGTCTATAAGATCAAGGGCAAGAGCCTAGGCCATGCGCCGGGGCCCGACCTTGGCTCACTGTGCAGTGGCGCTCGGCAGATACAGTGCTGGGCCCGGGAGCTTAGGGAGCCGCACGGTTGCTCACCCTCCCTCCACATCCTGCCTTCACTCTCTTCCCTCCGCGGTTCTTTCCTGCACGCTCTGTACTGCCCAGTGGTCGCTCCCGAGCCATGTCGGCTGTAAGCAAGTTACTTAACCTCGCTGCGCCTCGGTTTTCTCACCTGAATAATTACATTAACAGCAGCATCTACTTCAAAGGATTATTAAACACACTGAAATTACTGTGTACTTGCTTTCAGGGGTGGCCACCACTCGCAGTGAACACCTGTGAGGGGAGAAATCTCTGTCCCTCCTGATGGCGGCTGTGCGCTGACACCAGGGGCACTGCCTGCAGGGGACCACACATGCGCTGCAGGTTGAACCAACACATGCCGCCTCCTACGTGCTTTTCTCCAAACCGCTCTGCCCACCGGTGCCAGGCCTTAAATAATCCACATGCTCCCATCTCTCCAGCAAAACACTGGCACAATTTTCTTCACGTTTAAAAGGGGACGCTCGGCACTATCAAGCTTTACCTGCCAGCAGACAGAACATTTTACCCGAAATAGATTCAATACTCCCAAGTCTCCCGCCTCCCGGGTGCTCGCTGTGCAGTGGGAACAATGACCAGGAGCCGGAGAACAGCGTCCAGAGCTGCGGTACGCCTAGGACTCCACACGGGAGCCCAGCACGCCCCGGGCAGGGCTGGGAAGGAGAAAAGGTTCCTAGGCCTTGGGGTTTTCCGTGCTGAGGTAAGAGGACTATTCAGAGTATCCATGGTCAAACACACAGTTCAAAAGTTACACACCCTGTAAATCAACGGTAATACAAACCCGGCTTAAAATAGAATTTTACAAAAATAAAATTACCTAAAATTAAGCCCACCATTGTACTTAAATATCCGGTTCCACTTCCCAGGTTAAGAAAAGATAATCCTGGTTGAAGTTTCAACGCTTCCATAACTTCAGAATAAATGCAAGGTGCTGACAAGTGTATGTTTCCATGCTTCCAGGCTAAGTCCTTATAAGCATTGTCTCTGTAGCCTTCCAAATAGTAATCCCCGCGATCGATCGCTCTGAAGGCTTGCTCCACTCTTTCAGTGCGGATATACTGAGCTTCTTTTAAGTTATCAATTAAGTCATCATTATCTTCCCCAGCACTCACAGCTCCTCCCATGACAGTATTCAAATCAAATCATAAACTTTAAAATGTAATAAAATGAGCAGAAATGGCTTCCAATAATGTAGTGTGGTTTGTTTTCCTTTTAATATTGCACTTGATTTCCAAAAATAAATTAATCCTGGAAGGGAAGAATAAAAATAAACAGGTTTAAATTAATGCTCAAAAGAAAAATAATTCCAGTTTATTAAACACCTACGTCATTATAATTAACTGCCATCTCTCAAGGACATATTCTGCCCTAGGCACAGTGTTAAACTCTCTAAGTATTTATTTTACTTAATTCCTACAACATCCACAGAAGTCCGATCTCGTCTGCTCAGATGTGAAAACGGATACAGAGAGGTCGGGCCCATATGGTGGACACTAATTTTATGTGACTACCTAGATCTGAATTAGCTAAAATTCAATATGATTTAAGAGTCAGTTAGTTTGGGCCAGCAGGTGACATGGTGGTTAAGGCACTGGACTCCCACATGGGCAACAGCGGTTCAAGTCCCAGATCTGACAGCTTGCTTTCTCAGTTTCCATCTCTCCCTCTCTCCCTGGTCAAATTTTTAAAAATAATAATAATAAATAAAATTAAATAGTTCCTTTAAAAAGAAAAAAAAAAAGGTGATATAGTTAGTCAGCCTAGCCACATTTAAGTGCCTAACAGCTGCATGCGGCTGGTGGCTGCCACGCTGTTCCGAGCTGCTCTGGACAGGGGCACTGCTGGGAAGTGGCCCCAGGTCTTTCAGATTCAGAAACTTGCTCTTAATCACTAAGCCACATGGCTTCTTTACATGATAATAATTCTAGTATAATAAGCAATTAGTTGATTTGACGTAAAATATATAACTTAAAAACTGTTAACAATTCTAAAATGTACTAAATTTAAAATGTTAACACAAACAATAATATATTACTCAAATACAATATATAAAGCACACAAAATACTAACCCGGACTCACAGGCTTCACACACATACACACACACAGGTTTTGTCTGGTAAATCTTGCCATTATAAACAATGAGTTCATAACAACTTCATTTTATTAACAACTTTAATAGTCCCCACACTACAACAGACATGACCTATATACAAGACACATAACATGAACTCCTTTGAAGTATAATTTTATGGCTTTTGACTAAAACATTGCTGATTTTCTTGTAGACTTTGTTTTCTGGGTGTAAGGATTTGTGTCCTGTCTTGAGATATGGATAGGTTCAAGTACCCACCATATGAACAGAATCCTAACCTGTTTCCTGGCTTTAAATTTTAAGCAAAGTTTCTTAGCATTTCTTTGATTTAAGTTAAAACTGGTTTACTTAATAGTACCAAGTGAACTTGCTATTGAAAGTAGTTAAGATTATTTAAGACATTGTGTGATCAATATAATGGGGGGGGAGGAATGGAAGACAATTGTAGACACCAGAAATAGTGTGAGAAGAGGGTAGGAAAGGGCAGAGTCAGAAATAGGGGTAAAAAAAAAAAAAATACTAGAAATGGAAATTTTTTGATAATAACACGCATGATTAAGTTACTATGCAGTATATTCTGGATGGGAAATCACATTTTGTATGCTGTGACAATACTTAGGGAATGAATATAAATTAAGTTAAAAAAAAGATTCAGAACAAAAAAAAACTAAAACTGTTTTTCTTGAAATTAAAAACAAATGCATTAGGGAACCAGCAGTTAGCGTAATGGCTATGTCGCTGGACTCCCACGTAGTCGACCGCGGTTCGTGTCCCGGACCCAGTGGCTTAAAACTCACGCCGGGCGCGTGTGCGTGCGTGCCCAAGATCCCGTGTCTCTATGTCTCTGTCTGTCTGGCGAGCGCACGCGCCCTACAGTGAAAATCTCTCTTAAAAAAAAAAGAAAAAAAAATTGCATTAAAAATACCTATTCGATTACTGCAGTAAGCTATATAGCCCCAGCTAGGTACTACTTTATAGTATGTTCATTCTACTCACTAAGTTTTATGCCTAAAGTTGGACTTGTGTTCATGGAAATGTACATATCAGCTGTGCTTGCTATGAAAATATTTAGATTAATTAAGATCTTTAGTGACTCAATAAAAATGTGTGTGGGGGGGGAGTACAGAAAGCAAACAAAGATACCAGAGACAGTGTGGGAGGAGAGTGGGAGATGGCAGAGGGTAAGAGATAGGGAATCAAGGAAGGGGGAAAAAAAGCAAAATATATAGGAAAGAAGAAATGCAAAATTATTTGTTATCAACACGTATGTTGATGAGCCAATATTCAGTGTACTCTGGATGGAAAATCTCATTTTGTATGTTGTAATGATGTACAGTGAACGAATATAAATAAATAAATTTAAATAAAAAATTAATAAATAAAAAAATGTACTCCTTTGAATGGAAATGTAAGTGCAAACTGAATTTCAGTACATTAACACTGAACACACGATTTAAGTTTCAGCCAACTATAATTAATCAGTAAACTCACATATCAATCCGTGAACTGCTAAATAAGTAAAATATCCAGGCCTAAGCTGCAGAGCTATGGCGGCCAACTCTGGACAGGCTGTGTGCCCCATGCCCACTTGAGGCTTCTGAGAAGAGCAACCGGGGCCTCCAGCCACCTGGGGCCCGCAGCCCGGCACCGAGCTGTGCGCCACCACGGGGCAGCCCCCCTCACCAGAGCCGGCCTTGCTGCCTGTCTGTGCCCTCTTCCTCTCCCTTGACCCCTCAGGAACTTTCTAAGCTGAGGGCGTACTGTGCACTCTCATCACACTCACACGTGTTACTCAGACTCACGCAAAGTGAGTTCTATCCCGCTCCACCCCAAGAAAGGAGTAGTTTAAAAACTACGAGACTTCCAGCACGCCTCCCCCCAAGAGCACGTCTTGCAGTGTGTGGCAGGAGAGGTGATGCCGACCCCGGTCCTTCCCTAGGTCTCACTTTAGGCATCCTTTTAGAGCTCAAGCACCTGGCTTGCAATGTGCAATGCCAGCATTTCACGATTTGGTTTACTGATGAGGCCGAACTTTTTATTTTTTTTATTTTTTTTTTGAGGGAGAGGTTGTTTCTTATTGGGCATGTGACAGAGAGAGACAGAGAGATAGAAAGCAAGAAATCACCCCCCCAGAGGGGATGGCCATGCCGCAATCCCTTCTCCATTCTCCTCTCGGGATCTTGGGCACACATGCACACGCGCCTGGCATGAGTTCAAGCCACCGGGTCAGGGACTCAAACCGTGATCGACTACATGAGAGTCCAGTGACATAGCCATTATGCTAACTGCTTGTCCCTTGTGACCAAACTTTTTCACCGGTATTCAGTGAGCCTCTTCCCACGGTGGGAAAAATGGCTACATCGGACCGGGAGGCAGGCTCTGCCAGCACCCAGCGTGACACTTCCCCCCAAGGTTCCATGGCAGAAACTTGGCTTAGGCACAGGCATCTCACCAACGGCTCCACTCATCCTGTCTGTGCCATGATTTACTAAAATAGTCTGAAAATCCATTCCCCTTGTACGGTTTCTAGACCTTAAGGAGGACCTGGTCCTTCCTAGGGCCCTCTAGACTTCATCCAGTTCAGACGCATCATGGAGAAACGACTGTTTCTCCCCCTCCCAGGGTGCACCTGGGGAGAGGCGGGAGCAGCCAGCAGGCAGGAGGCAGCAGTGTCTCCGGCAGACCCCACCCCAGCCCCCAGCGTGCTCCCTGCGTGTCGTGGTGCCAGCACCCTCGGCAGGCCTGCGAGGGAGTGTCGGCGCACCCACCGCTAAGTAAAGCAATGGAGTGCCACGATGCACAGGAGTCAGAGGAACCCCAGGAGGGACCTGGGCCTGGGGTGGAGGACAGCTCCATAAGGGTGTGTGTTGCAAGGAGCAGACGGGGCAGAGGACCTCAGGCTGGGACGCTGCTGGCAGGGCCGGAGAGCAGACTGCTGCTGGGATAGGCCCCTGGCCAGGCACCGTTCAGCCCCACCCCGGCTTTGACCTGGAAGGCCAGGGGCTTCATTCGTAAAGACACTTTCAAGAATCTCCTTAAGTCTGTCGACCTCTTCCTGAACAAACTGGAAGTCTGACATGTGGCTGCAGAAGGCCCTGAGCCCTCAGGACTAAGGAGTCTACGGTGGCATGAGAGCGTCTGTATAGGTGACAGAGCGCCGGGGCCACGGTGGCTCCATCTCAGGGGGCGGACCGTGCAGTGTCTCCTGCATCTAGGAAGACCCGCTTCAGATCTACAGCCACAGACCTGGGACCAGGTACACAGAAAGCCGGGAAGAACGTCGCCCTTCAAAGAGCAGCAGTGCAGACCTCATCTCCTGGACTCCTTTCTCTCTGGCCCAGGAGGAAGGCAGACAAACAGAAGTTTACGAGGGCACCCAGGAGGGAGCAGTCAGGAGGTGCCATCCATTACCGCACGTTTCTTTGACACAAATGTGCTCGTGTACCTAGTATGACAGGACGATGAGGCAGCTGTCATGGGGACACTATGGAGGTTCACGATACATGCCCATGATCTCAAGTGATCTGGGAGACTCTTCCTCACATTACAGAGAAGCCCCCAACAACTTAGGAAGACTGAGCAAAAGGCGGAAGCGCACAGAGCCCCTTCCTATCAGGCAATCAGATGCTGGTACGGGGGCTGCAGGTGACCTGGGCAGCTGTGAACAAACGAAAAACCGCTGAGACTCTGCTCCCTAAGTGAGACAGACAACAAAGAAGGCGATCATTCCAATTCGGAGTTTTAAGTTCTGACAGAAATGATACCCACGTGAAGCCAGTTGTCCTCTGGGCCAACGTGAAGAAGAACGATACACCCTAGAATTAGCGCCCAGAGCATGGAGGATGGCCGTGCTATGGGGTGCACATCCCAGCGGAGGGCTGTCTGCGGCAGGACTGGTTACAGAGCTGGCACAGGGCGGAGCGCAGTAGGCCTCCACTCCGTCTCCCACAACCTGCTGTGCAAACGAGGCATTTTTGGATGTTCCTATTTGCTTTTTCCAAGAGAAAGAAAAAGAGATCAGCAGACACGTAGACAGCACCCCCAGAAGGGTCATGATGCCACGATCGCCCCAGCCTGATCAGCCCTGATCACGGCACGTGCATGCCCAGCGCACTCAGGGGCCTCCGGGGATGAGCCAAAACCATCCATGCAGCC